TACGAATAATTTTTCCAGTATCTCTTTTTTGACCAATTCCATGAACCACAAATATTATGTGGTCAATATCATTAGGTTTATCTTCCATTACAGCGGGAACTTTATATCCTCTTCTTAACTGATAGCCTGTTGCTATAACATTCATTAGATATAATGAAATATAAGTAATAAATAAATTGTGATCATAAATATATTTTTAAAATACTTACTTTTGGCAAAACCCAGCTTTGATGTAACACTACGCATTAATTTACTATGCCTATATTCACTGTACAATACCACATCATTTATACTATGCCAATCAACGTGAAATTCAGGAAAGTGTTCTGTGTGTAATACTAAAAGAATAACAGTTTTATTTTTATTTGTACTATTTTAGAATAGAAAATAATATATAAGATTGAAAGAGACTTTATACCTTTATAAGTGTAAGAAGGTGTATCACATTTTGAGGTGGATTGGCCAGAAGATTGCTTTTGAAAAAGATTAAGATGAACTTCTTCTATAACTTTAGATTGTTCTAATTCTAGAGGTAACCAACTGCCATCATAATACCAAGTACCTCTCATAATTTCCCACTCTTCACCTTTGGATAAATAAAAATTAATAATTATATTTATTTAGACAAAATCATATAATATGCAATTATTGAATTAACACAGCAATTTAAAGCAAAAAACTTGAAAAGAAATTTGTACAGATTATTTTTATGCACAGTTTTCTGAAAACAGAAATATGTAGAGATTGAAAATATATTACAATATCAAAGTATATAAAATCTAATCTATGGTGCTCTGGTTAGATTAATCATGGTTAAATGGAGTTGACTACAATAAATTTAAGGTCAAACCAATCTTTATGGCAGTCATAATCATACATGCATCAAAAGAAATAAAGTTACTACTTAAGTCAAGTCAAAGAATCATAAAATGATAAACTTTATACTTTATTTAGTATGTGACAGAATTAACACAAAATAATGAACAGCAAATTTTCATTAATTTAAATTACTCATACAGAGCTCTAGTTTTCTATATAATTTGAACTTTCATTATCATTTAAATAACAAAATAATGACATTCAAACTAAAAACATATGTACCTGGGCAATATATAGAAACACATTTCAATTTATCTAGTTCCACATCATACATTCCTCCCTTCACTACAATTTTTTCAACAGGAGATGAATTATTAGTTGTATCATCTTTTCTGCTAAGCAAATTTTGATGATTTTGCCAAGCGTTTTCAATCCTTAAGCTATCATATCCACAGAATTCTACCCATCTTTTATCTACACCATCTCTGTAGAACCATCGTATTTGTTCTGGAGTTAAAGGTTCTGCATATGTTAATTCATTTGTTACATTTTCCACATCTTCTCTCGTATTTGATTCTGCATTTGATACTTCTGTAACTCCTTTAAACATTGAAACTTGAAATTAAAATAATACAAATTTAACAAAATATTTAATCCATAACTTTTAATTTTAATACAACTAATATGATTTTCACTTATTATTTATAATTTTATTGCTTTTATTTCACTTTGCAGTTAAATAATCAGATTATGGTATATATGTATATAAGGTACAAAAAATTTCAGGATGTATA